GGAGCGAATTACGCATGTCCGACACACTTGATCGTGACGATCTCTCAATCGCCGCGTCCGGGCGAAAGTGGTACGTGCGGAACGTTATTAATCGGCCTGTGAATCGTGAGTTCTTTCTCGAAAAGCAAATACACGGGAGAAACGGGAAGAGGTCGCGGAGTTGAATTAGAAACGTGCAACGCGCGGACGGAGAGTGGCATTATTTCAGAAAATATCTGATCGGTCGTGACGTCGCGCCGGCGACACCGGCACCGCGTACGGCACATGTACCTACACGTGTCCCGACGCACTTTATCGCGCATAATTAATCCCAGACTAGTCCTCCGTCGAGAGCGATGAGTTCGCGCACGAGAGAGAGGAATACAATTTTCTACGCCGCGCGAGCGCTCCTGTCGCTGAATTTAGCTCCCGTCGCGCGGAGAGGAGAGCATCAGGAACGATACGAGTACCTTCAACTAACATTGCGCTCTCTTTCTTTCTCTCTCTCATTACGGCCGTAAAGCATTTTCACCTGGTATCTAATATATCGAAATTTAAGTAATACATTTCTCACAGTAAACAATTTTGCGTTAAAAACGGTCCATTGAAATTTTCTGTTACTTTAACACGGAAAATATGTTAAAAAGCACACAAATATATTGTAAAATTAACACCTTCATTTTGTCATGTTGACAAGATGAATGTGTTAACACTATATATTTGTACCTTTTAACACATATTTGTTCATTTTTTAATATATCCCTCATATTAAAATAACACAAAATTTCAATGGATCGTTTCTAACACAAAAGTTTTTATTTGCCTGATTAACTGTTGCGTTTATTTTTATGTCAAAGTAGGTTTTTATCAATCTATGAGCCGTCGAAATAGACGCGAACTACTCTTAAGAGTTTCAGAGTAGCGTCGAAATTTCAACTCGTCGGGTGTCTTGTCCAAAAAGTTATTCTGATATACCTGGAATTTACCCGAAATCAAGATCTTCAAATATTGCAAATGCACGTTAAAACGTGGTGCTCCGGAACACGCATTTGGATATAGATACGCATATGCAAAACAGTACTCGCCGCAGGAAATAGCCACGTGCAGACGTAGGCACTCGGAGATGCATCTAGACGCGGGAAGGGTGCTCGAGGTAGCTTGTACTTCTCATCGGCAGACCGCGCATAACAGGACCAAGGCGATCTTTGCCAGGTCGCGAGCTAGGAGCGCATAGGTGTAACGCGCGTGACTTTTAATCCGATAATCGTGCTCACGCATCCGCCACCCTTTCCCTCCTCGTAGTCGGCCGAACCTGACTCGGGTTCAACGCGGTCTCTCGAACAGATCGAATTGATTCTCTCTCTCTTTCTCTTTGTTTCTCTCTGCCTCTTTTTCTTTCTCTCTCTTTCTACCTGGCCATTACCTGGTCATGGCTGTCAGCTCGGGCGCGCTCCGCGCCCGGCGCGAATAATATAATAAATCACGCGGGTAGAAAACGATACGAGGTGACTTCCGAGCGAGCTACCGAGCTACGTTTCCAGCTCGCGAACGAGCGAGCTCGTTGTATCTCGACGTACAACGCTCGCCCGTACGTACATACGTACTTACGTTCGTGCTTAGGTGTATATCAGCGGCGTCGCGATCTCACGACTTCCATGTTAGTCGCACTCTCCGCTCTCGGCCGCTGCCGTTGGTTACGAGCGAGAGCTCGTACGTCCGGTAACGGCGACGACGAAGACGACGGAGACAAGCGAGAGAGCATCGATCGTTGCGCCCGCTCGCCGTTTCTCATGTTTTTCCGCTTGAGATTGTTATGTAATTCCGCGGCATTGATCGTCGTCGCGCGGAGCGCGCTTAGACGCGGAAGGGGAGTCTGGCGATACCATCCTGACATCTTGATACTCGATACTTGAAAGTTGTACGATATTTCAGCGATTTGATACGATATTCTGCTTTGAAACGCTTTAGCTATGTTACCGAAGTATATATATATTTTTTTTTTTTCATAAATTTAGTGTAAAAATTTTGTCAATTAAAAATCATGTTGATAATTTATCGACAAAATGCTCCTTTATTCCAATAATAAAATTATCCAGTTGAAGTCGAAGTGAAAAGCTTCTCGATCCGGCAACCCGCAAGCTCGTAGCTTTGTTGAAGCAATTCGTTGAATTAATAACTTCTCTCATCTCTTTTGACACTCAGGTTGATTCACGTAAATTCTTGATATTTTTACCTTGATACGCAGAATCGGATCTTACGTGGAAAAATACAATTTACAGTGCACAGAGCGATAAATAGTAACTTACTTGTGCTTGCAAAGATCAATAATCACGTTTTCCTAAGAGTACTTAAAAAAAAGAAGGGTTGAATATCATGGAAAGATTAAAAAAAAAAAGAGATTTTAGCAGAGCGTGGTTTCGATCCACGGACCTCTGGGTTATGGGCCCAGCACGCTTCCACTGCGCCACTCTGCTGTTGAAGGTCGAGGAAGTTCATGCAGTTAACTCCCTACGTGCCGTGACGTAGTCTAGTAAAATAGATAAAAAAAAACAACCCCGTCGTTGCTAGCAGAGCGTGGTTTCGATCCACGGACCTCTGGGTTATGGGCCCAGCACGCTTCCACTGCGCCACTCTGCTGATGAGAGCCAGGGAAATTCATGCAGTTTACCCCCTACGTGCCGTGATGTAGTCTAGTGAAATAGATTATAAAAAAAAACCACCTCANACCCCGTCGTTGCTAGCAGAGCGTGGTTTCGATCCACGGACCTCTGGGTTATGGGCCCAGCACGCTTCCACTGCGCCACTCTGCTGTTGAAGGGCGAGGACTTTAAAGTCGGTAAAGGGTAAGGGTAGTGATCAAATCTACAAAATTCATAAATTTAATATAAACTTATTTTTTCTGTGAGAGATATTTAAGTCCTTCGGTAACTTAAATATATCGTTGTCAGTAGGTAATTCTTGAGCGAATCTACACATATCACATTACGATATACATTCGATATATATGTTATATATATTGGAAAAAAAAATATATATATATTTTTTTTATATATTCCGCGGTGGTAACGTTCCGACGATTCGATAACAATATATATATTCACATACACATATATATACACGCACACACATACTAAAACATTTTGTGTTAAAAACAATCCGCTGAAATGTTTGTTATTTTAACATGGGGAGTATGTTAAAAAGTACAAAATATATATGTTACAGTCTTGCACAATATTTAATTATTTGTACCATTTGTTATGGTGTTTGGAATTACACTAAATATATGCTGCTTGGTATAACATTCTTCGAGATGTGGTGATTCTGGTTACGCACTTGCAGTCAGTTTACGATGGGGCTGGCCAGAACGCGAAATGACTACTTCTCTCATTGAAACTTTGTGGTGTGGCCAGCAGTATCGATCAAAGTGCGAAGAGCCTGGTTATTTCGCGAAATTGCTAATTTCAAGTTTTGACCTTCACACATATCGTGTAATACTTATCACACGAAACAGCGCTAAAAATATTGCATGCTTTAAATATTGTTTTTACAGGTACAATCAACATATCTGTGTGTATTTGAAAATATCGCGCACTTGAATATTATATAAAAGTTATTGCATAACAAAAGGTTCTTATCAATTTTCTTTATTATAGCGATACGATGTGCGATCTAAGTTGATGCTTATAAAAATTACGAAAAAAAATTTTAGCAGAGCGTGGTTTCGATCCACGGACCTCTGGGTTATGGGCCCAGCACGCTTCCACTGCGCCACTCTGCTCTTCGACTCTCCAACGCTAAGAATTGCTAGTCTTATGTACGCCTTAAGTTTATTTTTTCAGGCACACATGAATATTAATAACGAATCGAGTAATAATAAATATTTTTTATAACGACATAATTATTTTAATAATTACCTTAATAATGTTTGTTTCTTTTTATCTGTATATTGCATTTCGTGCTATAATAATAGTAAGGACAGATTTCACATCTTTGATGGTCATATCTGTCATTTTTCAATTTATATATCTATTTTAAATGTATAATAATTTTAATATTTCTTCATTAATTATTGCAGAAGGGTAAAATATCGCGGTGTCTTATCGATTAATTAAACTCACGTGTTTAAGCGAGTTTCGCGAATTCATGTAAGTTTCATCACATTTGGCCTATTTTAAATTTAGGAATTTAGGAGACTCTAATCCTACGGCAATCTTAATACGCAGGCTGTTGTCTCTCGATAGCAAAATTAACGTGAACGAGATCGCGACATGGCTGACGCGAAGAGAAAACGGTCGGTGGTCGAAGAGTTAATCGTAAATAACGGCCCGGCTCGCGCACGTTCGTGACACACGACAGAATGTATGCACGAATTCTTAGATTGGATAAACGCGAATGTCAGGTGCTCGCGACGCAAAGAACGCGAGCACTATTATTAACTCGTTTTATGGCTGGCATCTAAACTGCGAATAAACGAACGATAATTATGTGGGGGGCCGCAATAAAATCTGTATTGCGCGTGTCGTGAATAAGCGAATCTCAGGTATTTTTCTCGATGTCAGCGATAAATCATCATGATATATCGGCTGTTCAATTTTATAGAAATGTCTTGTGTGCGCGGCGGTAACATTCCTACGATTCGATAACAATATGCACACCCACATACACACACACGCACGCACACACTAAAACATTTTGTGTTAAAAACAATCCGCTAAAATGTTTGTGTTATTTTAACATGGGGAGTATGTTAAAAAGTACAAAAAATATATATTAAATTAATATATTTGCCTTGTTAACATCTTCCTTTTTAACATATTCACCTTGTTAAAGTGATACGAAGATTTGAGTAGGCCGTTTGTGAGACCAAATCTTTCACCGTGTAAAACGTTCCGTGCTGTTACTGCCGCTGCCGCTGAAATATATTTCACTCGAATTTTAGAAGAGCAACTTTTCGCCAATTTCTTCTTCTTTTTGATCGGAGAGCAACATTGTGGAATTTTGTCATTTCTTTTTTCTTTCAGTCTGACATCGTCCATCAGAGTGTCTACGAATTGGTGCACAGCGAGGACCGGGAGGAACTGCAGCGACAATTAATGTGGAATTCGTTCCTTCCCGCCGAAAGCGCGAGCCTGCCGTTGCACGATGCACTCTCGCCCCAACACAGTCATCTGCTCGAACGCAGCTTCACGGTTCGCTTCCGCTGTCTTCTGGACAATACATCCGGTTTTCTGGTATGTAACATATGCTTCTTCATGTCGCATGTCATTCGTTTCGCTTGCCGACTTGTGTGCACACTTTCTACGTCTTTACACCGCGCGATTAATTCGTACAATTTTTCACGGATGGCGTGAACTTTTTTATCCTAGAGATTTCAAAACGATCATGTTCTTAATTTTAATTGGAAGATTTCCAATGTTCATTTCTAAAGTCGAATTCTTAAGTGGAGAATTCAAATCAACATTTCGAAATATAAATATTACACACGGAAAAATAAATATTGCATTCAAGTAAATATTACTTGTTTCAAGTATTTCATTCTTCTTCCTTCTTACATTAGGCCTTAGGCCTGTGCTACCTTCATGACATTTTTATATTATTATCTTATATGATCTGTTTATTGTTTTAATACTATTATGAAGAAAATATTCTTCGTTCAAGATAATCATTGCTTAAAGGAAGAAAAGTAAACCGATTAATTGCTTTTCTTCGTAGTATAATTAATACTTTTCCCTATGTATACATCAACGTGCGATATCTATGATAATCTATTATAGATTTTTTACCCGGATCTTTTATCGTTTTATAATTATGGTTTACTTATCCGAAATCATTGCACTCGCATTGTGGAACCAATAGGCGTTCCCCCCGTGCTCGGAGTCGATCCGATCTCAGTACTTGGTTCGGCTGCGCGAAAGCACGTAAATGATCTCGAAATCTTTGCAAAGGCAAATGCGCCAAGTAATTACAATAAATGGCATGCCGACTGTCCGGCAAGAATTGCGGCGAGCTAGCCGGCAGAAGAGAGCGCACGACGTTCCTTCACGGTTACAAAAGCGATGCGCCGGGTGGCATACAAAACAGTAATTAATAATTTCACTGTCATAAAGAGAAGGAGCGAACTTCTCCGCTTCACTACGCCGCCACTGTTTCCTCCGCTCTCGCGTAATTGCTTTTTTTCACGTCCAACCTCTTCGTTCACCTCCTCCTTCGATCCTGGCCTGGACATTTCCTACTTACCCTCTCGATCCGTTAGCGAAGCAAAGCGACAGTTTCGAGTAGTTGTCCGCGAAATGTCGACTTTATGATTAACGAATTTTTCATCATTGTCATAGAGAGAGATTAATTATTAAGAGGGTCCAAAAATGAAGAAATCGAAACGTTTGAGATTGCTTCAATTTCATTTGGTATCCTATTTACTATTTGAACGCAGCACACAGGGGGAGGAAATATCTAAAAAATAAAGAATATTTTTTCTACTAATAACATATTTACTTATATTCAAAATTCTTTTATTTAAATAATAATCCTCAGCTCTTCCTATTTACTATATACTCGCGATTGCAGATTTTCTTGATTTCCCAAAGACAGAACGAGCGGACGACGCTATCTTAAACGAAAGTTCATCGACCAATAAGAACTTTCACTGAACTCTTGACGCGAGTTACCTCGTTAAGTTAAATATAAAACTCTGTCCGCTTGACACATCCGGAGAGTGAGAGAACGTTCCGCCCGCGACGGTTATTCCATAATCGCGTTATTTCCGGCGCGACTGAGCGTACCGCGAGCTTTACGAATTTTCTGAACAGGAACACAATTCCGACGGGGGATTTCGAATAGCCGACTTACGTCAACGGCCTTAAATCTAGGCCGCGGGGCCGACATTCCCCGCGCAAACGCTGGACGTGTATAATCATAGGCCCAGCCAATGAACCGTGACAGCACGGCGGAGATTGAAACGATAATTCGTCCGGACGGCCGCCGAGCTGTCCATCGTTGGTACCGTTGTCTCGACGGCGTCCAAGAAAAGGTATAAATCAAGGACCAAACACAAAACCAGGCTCTCTCCCCGTCGACCTAAGGGGGAGAGAGGGAGAGTGCGAGAGAAGCCGCGGCAAAACACTAATTATCTTACGGCAAACACACCGCGCGCGGGTGCGCACCAGGTATACGATGTCGAACGCGCTGAACAGAGACAACGGTATTATCCCGCGAGAGACGAGAAGGAGAGAACGGGAGAGAAAGAGAAGGAGCGAATGAGAAAGAGAGGCGTCCTGCTCTACGGGCTGAGGTGTTCCAGGCTGCACGTACGGAGCCGCGCTCGGCTGAGTTCGGCAAAAACGGCGCCGCTTTGACGTTTATGAAAATGAAACTGTAATCGTAAAAGAGTTTACGGCGCAACAGGCTCACCGCCACCTTCTCCGCCCTCTCAGCGGCATCCCTCGCGACCGGCGTATAGCCGCCGACCTAGCTACCAAGCGCTAATTTTTCTCCGCTTTTTCTTCGCCGAGACGGATCCACGTGGGACTGTGTCCCGTCGAGAGCGCTGTGCTCTTCCTCGACTGCATCCTTCTTCATCGTGCGAGTTGACGAAGAACTGCGAGAAATGTCAAATATAATAATTATTATATATTAAAGTAATACTGACCGTGATAAAAACTGACAATAATATAGTAATACATATATAATATAACAAAACATAATATAAAATATAATATATATCATAATAATAAACGTAATACAAACAATATAATAGATATAATATAGAATCTAATAAGATAATAGATCGTAATATTTAAGATATCTGTCGCTAGGTGTCTCATTCGTGTTGTAACAGATACAGATGCTTGCGTATATGCTGCTCACATATCGTTCATATCATGATGTCAGGAAAAACATCTAATAGCGTCAAGAATTTGCACACATCTTTTGCGAACATTCCGGTCTTGTGTGATATTAATCACGTAATGATTTTTGAAAGGGTATTAAGTTGAAGTTACAATATCACATCACATTTGGCATGATAAAACATCATGCATTTCTATCTTGGTTGATCCAAATTACAAGCATATGACTACACGCGATATTTAAGTTACACTCGACGTCGTGCTTTCGACGACATTCGTCGCAATTTACGGGATATCTTCTCGCAGCGCCTTGACATCAGGGGTCGAGTTAAAGTGCTTCATGGTCAGAATCGGAAGACAGAGGAGCCACCGTTGGCTTTATTCGCCCTGTGCACACCGTTCGGTCCTCCTTCGCTATTGGAGGTGCCGCAGAAGGAAGTGATGTTCAAGAGCAAGCACAAATTGGATCTTGCGCTCGTGACAATGGACCAGAGAGGGAAGATGCTTTTGGGATATTCCGACGCGGAACTGACGAATCTGGGTGGCTACGATCTAGTCCATTACGACGACCTGGCCTACGTCGCCAGCGCGCATCAAGAACGTAAGTGGATCCTGCGTATCTTTGATTTGCACCAAGTTGATTTCATCACCTTATTTACCTCGTTAAATAACGAAGAGAAAGATAATATTCTGGCCCCTCATTAATCGAAAAATGAGGAAGCATATATAATTAAATACTTAAAATGTACCTTGGAAACGTTTCGAAATGTTCAAAAGTAAAGAATGCGTTATATCAGCTGCTAAATAAATAATTCTACAATCGCTGGAATTGATCAGTAAAATTCGCCACCTAATAATGGACATGTTAAAGAGAGACCATAATACATACAAAGATTATATAACACCACTTCCTCCCTTAATAAATTCTCCTTCGCGGCAATGTTGATCCAACGACAGGTCGGGGGTGCGCCGACTAATTTTCTCCCCCTTCGCGTTTCAGTATTGAAGACCGGTGCGTCGGGAATGATAGCCTACAGATTTCAAACGAAGGACGGCGGCTGGCAGTGGCTGCAGACCAGTTCCAGATTGGTCTACAAGAACTCGAAACCAGACTTCGTGCTGAGTACTCATCGACCTCTCATGCAAGTCTCCAGTTAACGTCTGCACGTCGACGAGCCTGACGGAGCGGGCGGTGCGATTGACGAGTTTTCACGTTTCAGGGAGGAGGAGGGCAGAGATCTGCTCGGCAAGCGCACGATGGACTTCAAGGTGAGCTATCTGGACGCCGGACTGACCAACAGTTACTTCTCGGACAGCGACAGTCTGACGGGGTCGGTGATGACGCCGACGTTACCAGCGCAGCCGGCGCCTCAGAGGGTGAACAGGAGGTACAAAACGCAGCTACGTGACTTCCTGTCGACCTGCCGCAGCAAACGCACCAAGCTCTCCGCTCAGTCGTCGGTCTCGCCGCCCGTCACGCCGACGGTGGCGTCCGTCGACTACCTCGCCGCGGACACCAGCGCGGCGGCCGCGGTCGCAGCTGCCTATAGCAATCTGAACACCATGTACCCGACGCCGTACGCGCCCACAGCGGTCGCAGCTAGCACCGACCCCTCCTTGACGACTTACATCGGTCACACGGGCAACTACCATCAGACTCTCTATCCTGCCACCGCGTTAGACAACAGGTAGGTCGGCCCGAGAGATGATCCGAAGAGTTCTCGATACGAAGAGATACGCCTTATTCAGTACCATAGAGTTCTCGATATTAATAGAGAAGCAACGTTGAGTTCAATATATTGATACTTATTGATATCTCTAGTATCCTATTATTATCGTCCGATGTAACTACAAAATTACTAATAATACGAAGCGAACTACAATACTAAACTAACGATAACGAACCACAAAAGAAAAAGATTTGCAAGATCTTCGCTAAAGAGATCGACAGCTTATATTTGCTAATTTAGCAACACGAAGAAAAGTACGCATTGCAAATGTTACGCAAATGTATTCGCTTTCCCTATACAGGTACCTCACAGCCGCGACGGAGAACCTGTTCCAATACAGGCCGCTGGGCTCGTACTACCCGGAGTACCACACCGGCACCGCGTACAACGGCTTCATCGACGTCTCGCTGCCCACGTACGAGACCCATCAGCTGACAAGCAAGACCGAGGAGAAGCTTTACTGCCAGCAGCTCGGCAGCGGCGAGTCGCCGAAATACAGCTACGTGGAGACGAGACACCCCGGCAGCGTCAGCAGCTCGCCCTACGCCGCCAGCCCAGTGGCGAGCGCGTCCACGATGCACCCAGCGACGGCCGACATCAACGTCGTGCGCGCCGGGAGCAGGCACTCGCTGGAGGGTGGCGCGTCGTCCAGCAACTCGGCGGGTAGCTCGCCGGTGACCGGCGCGGCCAACGGCGTCTTGACGCCGAAGATGGAGGACGTGAAACCCGAAGTCTACGGCAGCAACGAGACGCCGCGGCAGACCGTGCTGATGTGGGGCGCGCCGCCGTCCCGCACGCCGCCCAGGAACAACGGCAGCTATAGCCCGCCGACGCCGCACTCGACCCACTCGTCCACGCATTCGACCAACGCCACCGGTGATCCGCTCAAGTCGTTGGCGGAGATGAACTCTATGAACGGGGACTGCAAGTGGCGGCAGACCTCCCCTACGGATCAACAAGTGACCGCGCCGAGTCCGCCGAGGAACAACAAAACTCAGCAGCCCCCGTCTCAGCAGCATCACCATCCGCAGCACCAGCAATACCCGGTGACCACGTCGCAGTACCAAGCGGCCGCGGCGGCCGCCGCCACCGGCACCATCGGATACACGCATCCTCATCCGAGCCATGGCCACGGGGAAGCGGGCTCCGAGGTATGGCAAGGAGTGCAACACCACCATCACTACCAGTACTATCCCTACCACCATCACCACCCCGCACCACCAAGGCACACGCCCCAGTGAGTGTCACTGCTGCCTCACAGATTTTATTATAATTTTCCATCGGCGTTCGGGGTAAGGTGGCCAACCCCCAGAGCTATCAGCCTTTCGAGAGATCTCGTTTCGCGTCTTCACTCATCCTCGGCTTTCTCGTGAAATTCTAATCATTGAAATTGTGCCTCTTTTCATGTTGAATCGGAGGGGTTGCTTCGCTCTTTCATTTCTTAACAATGAGAATTGTCAGGGATTTTGGTAATGCTACATGAGAACAGACGGCTTAAAATTGTTAATTTTTAACGCCTTTAAGGCAAAGTACGAGAATTTTTTAAACGACTTCGGACGGTTGGTCACCTTAATTTAGGGTGAATGCGAGATGCCGGAGGTGTGTACGAATGGCTGCCATGTTGAATCGAACTGTCACTCGCGAACATTGAAAGTTTCACCTGATATTTATCAATCGAAACAATCTGTTAGAGAATCGTGCGTAAAATTACGTAAAATTCACTTTTAGTGGGTTGTTCTTCCCAAGTACCTTATATTCGAATGGCAGCACGTATAATCAATGTTGTTTACTGCATACTGAATGTTGTTTGTGCACAGATTGATCGTTCGTGACAGTAATGGTTGATGATAGGAGTCTCATTGTACATACACAGGCGTCTCTCCATTGAAAGGCAAAATCAATCGTACAGATTGAAATAAACGTGATTGCGTACTTCACGGAAACGCGAGAGTTTCCGTTACGGAGTTGTCGAATTAGAAAATTTGGGTCATCTTATTAGCAGACGACGAGTGCCAATTGGATGCAGTTTATCAACACACTTGATAATGCGTAAAAAAATGTGTACACGCTTCTTTTATAAACATGTACGAAACTGTTAAGTTTCGCGTATACCGTCAAACGTACTCGTCCACTCGGCACGTCGTATCGAAAGCAAGTGCATGACGAATTAAAAGTTCAATTATTTATTTCCTACGTCATTTTACACATAACTTTGTCAACGATTATTTACAAAGCTCACTGTCACTGTTTACAAGAATCATTACAGTTAAATAACGAACCGAACGTTTAAGTGTACACATACTCATATGATAATACGTCCAAGTTTAAGAAGAACGATGAGCGTATGTATAATTTAATGCTAAAATGTATCTTCAAAACGTTTCGAAATGCTCGAAATATGCACAATGTTAATATGATACAATGTTTTTTGCTGGAAAACGGATTTGGTTGTCGCGACTGGTTATGACGATACATCTAGTCTCATCTTTCTGAGAGTAGCACGCTCAGCAAATAAATAAAGACGTACAAATCGAGCGATCGAGGAAGCGCTGGCTTCCTCGACGCGACATTAGAGAACAGAGTTCTAGCCGCGTGATTACTATCCGGCTTAAGAGGAGCTTAATTTAGCACACGTGAAGATAACGGGGAGACCGTCCATTTGGTTGCAGCACGCCACCGTCGGCTGCGGGAACGGGGACGGCGGGGGTGGGAACAGGCATGGGCATGGGCACCGGGGCGGACAACAGCACCAGCAACAGCAACGTCTTGTACCACCCTCCGCACCACCACCACCATCATCACGTAGTGGGATCATCAGCGGCGGCGGCGGCAGCGGCGGCGGCAGCAGCGGCGGGAATGGGCCCAACTGTCCCGCAGATTCCAAACCGGACGCCGGGAGTCCTCTGTTGTCCATCTCTGAGGTGACTAACACCCTGCTCAACCAATAGTCCCTTCGCCACCTCGGCGTCGCTCTATATCAGTGAAGAAGGTACGATCTCGCCGAGAGAAAAGTTCACGTTGCTCTGGAAACGAGTAGGGGATCACAGTGCGCGAGTGAAGTTCTAGTTCAGTTGTAGTTTCGCATGATTTCTGCAGTCTTATAAATGTTATAATGTATATGTGGTAATAAAATTGTTAGCCTCGATAACGTTCGAACGACCCGCACGGTGAACGGAAAGTAATAAGAAATCAGGCTGGTAGCGCGAACGTGTTAAGATTTAAATAGATAAGATAGATATTTTTCTTTACTTTCAATAAAGATACCTTCGAGTTTTATACGCGTTTTTGTTTGATTCTTTTTGGGAATACTTTAAGTCCATCTGCAATAGGCGTAAAGTATGCAGCAACGCGTAAGCTAATTGGCCAATTGGATTCTTACAGTCCAAGAATAATCGACTGTGGTTGGTTGAGATTAGCTTACCGCTTACGTTTTAACGCATACTTTACGGCTATTGTAGATGGTCCTTTAGATATTTTTCTAGGTAAAATCGACGCTTGTAAAGGTGATCTCTTAACGTTTCCAGTTGTTTCAACTCGCGTATGTGGATATATTCAAATTGTCTGTGTGTCCACTTGCAGATGTCTCCCAGAGGATGTCTTCACCGAAGCGGATCCCAAGACGCGTCACTGTACCATACAGATAATGTCGGTTAAAAAGAAGTAAGAGTATTCGTATAGTACTGTAACATACTCACACTACGCAGCTAATAACCAATCTACTATTACGTAACTTTCATTGCATTAATTTATCCGTACCGATACGTGTGTTAAGTGGATGTTCTTCAGGATTCACAGTTTGAGTCAGCATGTACACTGATCGCGGAGCTTGTATGTGTGCATGTATGTGCGTGCGCGCGTGTGGGTGTGTGTGTGTGTGCGCATGTGTGCGTGAAGGACAGTGATCACGAAGCAATAAAATCTTGCGATTTTATTCGTTCGCCACTGTAGGATGCAGCGATTGCTCGATGAATGGCAATAAGTGCTCCAAGGAAAGGAAGGTGAGCACAGTCCAATTGATTTTACGTAAGTTCTTCATATCAAAAACTGGATATCACTCTTTCAGCAGAATCAAACAGTTTTCGTTATTCGGTTATTCGTATTAATCATGTTCTTACAATCAGAGAATACAACATTTGCACGCGTATTATTTCACCGTATCAAAATGTGGGACAATCTTTATTACTTTCATAATCTTAATAATCTTTATTATGAAAATTGTAGATTTAATAAGAAAGATAATTTGGGAGTACAGGAACGAAGCTCAAGCGCTTCAAAGCAGAATGAAATATCGTGAACATCCGTTGTTCTATAACGCATTGTTGTTCCCGCAATTTGGTATAGTTTAATGTTTAATATAGTTTAATAAACGTGTGGATTCTTTTCGATTATTTATTGTGATGTACTGGAAAAGAGTGACGCTGCACGGTGATCACTGTCCGGACACCGGAGCAGGAGCGGTATTAACGAACGACATTCCTTCGAACCAAACACTGGCGAACGGTTTTCACATCCGAGAGCACAAAATTCGTCTTCTCGAGATCGGACTTTGATGAAGCGCAACATACGCGACTTTAGTTTGTATCAAACTACGTGTCCATGTGTTTGTATAATTCTATCCCCGTGCGCAAAGCTTTTGTATCTCCCGTGCGATTCGCACGTCTGTGTAATTCCCTTTTCGTTTCTTTTTCTAAAGGAGAATATGAATTCTGTGATATGTGTTAGGTAATTTAAACACAACATTCTTCGGAAGGCGTACACGATCGTAAAATATTTATTGAGCGTAGAGAACGGCGATAAGAGAAAGACAGAGGGAGAGAGAGAGAGAGAGAGAGAGAGAGAGAGAGAGAGAGAGAGAGAGAGAGAAAACTCGTCGTTGTGGAATTGTGAAGATGGACGCGCGTGAGCGATGTGTAGAGAGATACGAATTGCTAAACATGCACCACGCGAGGGTGATCCTCTTTTCAGACGAAAATCGGGGAAGCGCTCCGAAAGATCGAATCCTGCGAGGACGACACATTCTTTTTTTCTATCAAGACGCGCAAAAAGGCGCGAAAAGCGTTTGAAGAGTGTCTCGAAGTGATTGTCACTACTTGATGAGCGAGCAGATGCAGTTTAAACGAGAAGACGAAAAATCACGCGTGTAATAAACGATCCCTCCGAGTTACACGCGGTTGTTAAGCGGTCTAAGCTATTCCTGTCGCCGGGACGCAAGGCGCAAGTGTAAGATAAGTTCTCTTCCTTTCGCGATAAAACTACTCTCCACTCTTTACACGATTTTTTTTTACCGGATCGAGACTCTCCGCAAAGTTTTCAATATAAATTCACGCGCGCGGTTCCTGGCTTCCTGGCATATATTTTTTTTCAAAGAACGATTCGTAATTTAACTAACGGGTTGTCATGTGGCGAAGATTCGGAAAAAGGTGAGATTCCCGCTTACACTCTGAGAATCGAACGCGTGACTTCGTGGTAAATAATAAATTTGCGAGCCAATACGCTCCCGAGACTTATCGGCGTTTGGAGCGGGAATCGGTACAAAGTGTTTTGAGCATCTCAAGTTACTTCTCCAGTCCTCTTTCGAGCGTCATGAGAATCTCATTAGATGAATGATCGCGGTGAGAAGGCGAAAAGCGAATACTTGTAGCCCGTACATTCGGCTGAACCTCCCAGTCTTGCCAATATTTTGTTAATAAGTTTGTAATTTTTGTACTTAATTAATTTATACATTATTTATACATGTGTACGTGTAATTCGCGCGTGTTTAGCGACGCTAGGTGGGCCTTCCAATAATTTTAGGTGCATTCTCACTTGCAAAGTCGACGAGATCCGCAAGAATTCTCGTATCAAAAAGCACATTCGACGAGGGCAGGGAGAAAATCTGCAAACGAAGATACTTCGTACGAGCACAAAGAAATAAAAGAAAGGAGGAAAGAGAGAGAGAGAGAGAGAGAGAGAGAGAGAGAGAGAGAGAGAGAGAGTTATTTTAAGATAGACGTTGAGAGAAAGAGCTGTCTTGTCTCCACGCGCTTCTAAAAGAGCAACTTCGCATATCCGCAATCACATATCACGAAGTGGTATAAAGGTAAAGTTAAAATAAAAGAGAAAGAAAGAGAGAGAAAGAGAGCGAGCGAAAGAGAGAAAGAAAGAGAGAGAGAGAGAGAGAAAGCGACATATATTTAGATATTCTCTTCCATATACACTTCTCGAATCATCGATCATTATTTATTAACTATAATACGTAAGATCGTATCAGGCGCGTTGTACAGAAATAACGCCCCCGTTATAAGGATAATAAGTGAACTCCGTTTCTCCTACGCGCTTCATTCTCAATAACGCGTCATATACTTTTTGTATGTTCATACGTAACGCAAGATATGTGTCTATATTTTTAGCGTAGTCGAGATACGTTTGGATGCAAAATTTAGACAAGCGAGCCGAAAGTCTCTCCGAACGGACACGTCATACGTAGCATTCGGTATTTTTATCCATCGTTCAACACACTGGGGCTATAATTCAGAAGAAAGCAGTGGCTTAAGAACGAAGATACGTCGAATACGGTGAGGTAAAGCGAACAACATCCGATGAAATTGTCGAGACGTTCGCGCGATCGGTCCCCCCGTCGGCTTTCTTCCGCAATATCGGAGAGATTCGAACTTGTCTGGTGCGTTTGCATCCCGGTCCTCGATTATCCAAACATCTCACTCTACTTTGATTGACTTTGCAACAAGAAGACGCAACTCAATACGGCGTCGAAACGTGTTACTGTCAAGCGTGTTCCTGTACTTATCTCCTCCCCCACCCCCTCCCGAGATATTTCTTCAAACATAATTACGTAATTGATAAATGTCAAGCTGAAGAAGCTCACTGAGTAGCGACCTCGTGAATTAGATCACATGTTTAACGGTTTCGCCGGGATGAAACAACCGCTCTCTTCTCGATCGTCAATTTTAATTTAAGTTCAGCGCGCAAAAGTCTTCCCGATGTCTTCTTCGTGCGGCCCGCCGACGCGCGGACTGAGTATACAGAAATTGATCCCTCCGGCTCCTTCGAATTGACAGAAATCTTCAGCGTACAATGTTGCGAACATGCCTAGACGTTCGATTGAGAGAAGAAGAAGAAGAAGAAGATAGAAATGCGTCGAGCAGAACAACGACGCGAAAATGTAGGATACGCCGATAGTAGCCCGTTTCGAGCCCGAAATCTTGTACATCTATAATTCTGACTTACTGTTATGGCTTGCGAATACCTTCGTTTCTCTGCAATATCCTTACACGATAAGAAGCTACTATTATTACTATAAGTAATCGAGTCTAGTCCATACATAAAAAAAAAAAGATGCGAGTTAGTAACGATATGCTTAAATTGTGATAATATTCTCGCCGTGAAGCTGATTTAACCGACAATCTTTATCGCGATCACCGCTACATAAGTTCTCCCTTGCTCGTGTAAATGTAATTGTTAAGGAAGCAGGATATATGATACGGTATACTCTTTTTCCCGGTTATGTGCCTCCCGGTATATATACTAGACGTACTCGCGACGTCGACAGCGGTCTCTACTTCGTACGTTGAGTTGCGATCGCGAGGATATTTTGACGATCTAAGCATAGATGTATATTCACTGTATATTTGAAGTAAGGTATCTTATTATATGATAACGTGCATAGTCGTTAAGGTCATAGTGTCGGTACAGATTTTCAAGGAGCTACAGGAGCAAGCCGTGCGGACCGAAATAAGAAGAAAAGGAGAAGAAGAAAACGCGGACGAGAGGAGAAAAAACACGTACCTTATTTTCCAGCGATTATTTGTCGCCTCGCGGAACTACGAACTGCGAGCTTGAATCTTACATAGGACACGGTCGTTATCGTAAACCCCCGTACACGTCGTGGAAAGCCCGCGTCATTTCGAAATCGAGTGATCTCCTCACCAGGGAAGCTCGGAGGAGTTCGCTTCTTTGTTGAACATCACACATGCATTTCACGCGAGACTAGAAGGAGGAGAAGAAGGAGGAGAAGCAGAGAGAGAGAGAGAGGGAAAATTCTAGCTCTAGGTTCACGCGAGTACCGAATGCGAACTCCTCGTTCGAGATTATAGTTTTGTCCTTTTCTATCTTGCAACGATAATGTTACTCTAAGATAAGGAGCGGAACGTAACTCATTCGACAGCGAGCTGTAATTTCGCGAGACTCGTAGAGAGGAAGAGAAAGAGAGAGAGAGAGCGTTCTAGCAAACAAGAAGACGTAATAATGACGTCCGTGACGTCATTACGTCTTCAGTGCGTCGCTTGACGTACAAAATACGTCATCATGTTTGTTGGGACGCTTTGACAACAATGAAAATGCCTCAACGATGGAACGCTCCGAATAATCGATCTGCCGTCGAGTGTACTTGAGCGCGGCCAAAAGAAAAAGAATCTGAAATCGTTTTCGCGAAAAAATCTCTGAGAGAGAACATTTTTTTCCCGGAATGCCGAGAATTATCGTTGAATTGTATATTTTTTTTTTTTAACACGTTCATTGCCAAACTGAAAATTGGAATTTCGTGTGGTGGCTAAATTTTTTTAATTTTTTAATTTAGTTTTTATTGTGCTCAAAATAATTTAATATATTATTTATATGCTTTTATTATTATGTACATAGGATTTATGTACTCTAAATATCTATTACGCGATAACGCGTGATCGGCCGTTTGGTGAGAACTCGCATCACGCGATATCGCGTGATTGGCAATGAACGTGTTAACGAAACCAAACGCGCAAACCAATTGCGCATCCAATTTGCTTCGGCACTCGAACGGGTAAACGGAGGTCTGCTTGAGTAAGGAACACACACGATCTCTCAAATGGAGAAGCTACAAATCGTATACTCGCCGACGAATCATCGCTGAGCTACCACCGCGAATCGAAAGGACGCGCGACAATTTTTGCAGATGCCTTCTTACAATCGCTAAAACTAATCCTTTTACCGTCTCACTACTACGATACGATGGAAGCTATGTTCCGTGTTCTTATTTGCAATCGATTTTATTTCATATATCTCTAAATGTATCGAAGTCGATTAACCAGTACCATGCCAAACCGAATTTTGAATCTTGATCACTCCATCCATTTTTCTCTGATATATTATATCCTATAGGATCTAGCTACTATTAACACTATTGCTAAAGATAAGTTCTACAAATAAAATTTTAAAGAAACTGTATCAAATGTTTATATGAAATAAATTATGATAATGCAATAAAATCGGTACCTCTTGCGCCCTCCTCTCGGCGGTTCCACTTTTATGTACAAAATAAAATGTCAATATTATACAATTTGATATGTAATTTATACAATAATAATTTCTTTTTCTTGTAAAAAACGATAAAAAAGAAAATTATGAGTTTAGTGGAAAACTATCGTTTACTTAATGTCAAATTAAATAAAGTTATTATATACGAATTATATCGCTAAATTAAATTTTAGTAATATTTTTTTGACATCAATTGAGGTTTTGATTTTCATTTTGTTCCTCGACTATGATTTTTATTTATTTTTTTCATATTTCTTGTAATACCAAAAATATGATTCTCCTTTTCTGAACTTGGTCGCGTGAACAAAGATCGATCTTCAACTTGGTTGGTCAACAGTTTACCTAACACCATCTAGCAGTATCATCAGGAAACCTGTAATACCTAACAGGTTTGAGTCTCGGCTAAGTGGGTAGTTTGAATCTCAGCTAAGTGACATTATTATTTCCGAATTCTCCGCTATTAGTCGCCACTGTCTTTATCAAAGAATCAAGATTGTAATATCTTTCTATTAATTTCTTAACGGAAGTTATTGATCTGTTCATGGTGAGCGATTAAAGCTGAAAATCGACGAAGGAAACGCGATTCAACTTAACGAATCTAATAGAAAATCTTGGCATTTTACGGATCTCGATTTATATTCTTGTAGCATCGCGCGTGCGAAAAATTAATAAACTTTATATACCCGAAAATATATATAATCTCTGGAAATTATTTTTATATAATACAATATATAAATTTCACACAAGATATCACTATATGTTCGACATTATTACTGCACGTGACTTAACATTTTTATCTTCGCACACAAGTTTCCATTTATAATCGGCATCAAATTACGACTTGGAGCATACTTTCTTCGGCGGACAGCCGTGTCGTTTCGTCAATTGAATGATTCTCTCGGCCTCGCGGATACCGCTGAGCCTTGCGCCGTGCACCGTGCTATAATGTCCTGGTATAGTAGCCTCACCCGCGAACAAGAGTATGGGAGAATCGCAGGATTCTGGAAAACGCACATTTCGATTTACGCACGTCGAATTACGCATGCTGAAGAAATTTCTTAGCGAGAGCCGCGTTTAGATAATAATTATATTCAGGATTATGGATGAAGTGTGAATATTAAAGTTGTCTGTTTCGATTAAACAACGTGATAAGCAAGAAACATCAAAACAATCTTTTGAAACATTGATTTTAAGTGGATTTTATAAATATTTTGATATAAAACTTTATAAATGTTTTTACAAACTGTTATTTGATAATACATTTCTAAATATTAAAAATTAAATATAAAATTTCTAAATATTATTGAATTTGCCACAAAATAGATTTTCTTTACTTCAATCTAATATTACTCAGTAACGGTTTGGTGAGGAGGCTCAGGAGAGATTTATCCTTTTACGAGAGCACAAACGTACTCTTACGTGTCCTTTTCATTCCGTTCGAGCAACCGAAGGACGTTGAGGAAGAACGTGAAGAAATTCGGAGATACCTGGTAAAGGAGCAGCCAGGTTGCATTGGTGGTCAACGGTGCTGCCCATCGCCATGTAGCTGTAAGCCCCGGCAAAGTATTGATCCGTGCACCACTTGCTCCTTAAAATGTTAGCTGGGTAAGGCAGCGTGGGATCACCGGTGAATTGACGAAGGAGCCGTGTTATCGACTCCACCACTAACTCGTCGGAACATAACTCCATGTCCAACGCCTCGTGTCCGCACACCCAGGCGCACAGCACGTGTTGAGAATTCGGCAACTCCTCCACATTCGTCACACCTGACCGATCGAATACGAATCGTCCGGTTAGTTCGTACTCGGCGGAAAAAATTAGTCTCAAATCAACGATAGATGTTCTTACGTATAAGCGAGAATATTATAATCTTCCTAGAAGAGTTTTAGTTTTGATTTCATTGATTTTGTATTGATGCAAGTATTATTACTTGCACTCGATTCAAGACTAAAAATCTTCCGAAAATATCATAATATTTTTGCTTATATTTGAGAATATGATAGATATCTATCTTATTGAATATCTATCTTATTGACTTTAACCTTTTTTTTCTGTATGTCGTATCAGAAATTATAATGAGCATGTTTTTTTCTAAAATTTTAAAACTATAAGCTTCCTGAGTCAATTGAATTATTAAGTCAAATTAAATCGAGTAATTTGCTAAGCTGAGAATGAAGAATACGAGTTGCTTTCGGATAATCGACGAAGAAAAAACGACAACCTTTCACCCAATCATTTCTATCCGACAACTCTTCCGGCGACCAAGCCAGCTTGATGCCACCTTCCCGCCAAACCCAGAAAGGCCTGGTGTATTCGAGGAAGATCTTGCCGACGTGTCCGTAGCCAAGTTTGTTGGTCGCCTCGACCTTCTCTGCGGGTAAATTGGGACAGAATAATTTCTCGTGCTGTCGCTTTAAGACGCCGAGCGAGACCGTGACGATGACGTAATCAGCGGGCAGTTCATCGCCGTCGCAGCATTTGACGACAGCTCGAGGACTCGCATTGCTCGCTGTGCCCCATCGGATGCACTCGATCGGTTTGCAGTACCTGAAAATGCAACGATGGTCATCTCACTGCTGAGTGCTCGGTCAGTTTGTTTAACTCTTCGCGCTTCTATGTCTGCAGTTACTAAAATAAGCTAAAAGAACTTTAATTAAGCGTTTTATAATCATTCACTTCTAGAAGATCATGTAATTAAGAGATATGAAAAATCGTGATGTAAGTGACAAATTTCAAATATATATTCATTCTATTATTTAAAAAAATTTATTTTTTCTTCAAAATTGCCATTATTTTTAAAAGAAAAAAAACTAAGTAATTTTTTTTTCTTCGTAGTACAGTAATATTTTTCTTTGTGTGCGAGAGATTAATTTAATCGCTTCCCTCGCGTCTCTTATCTTACGAACTTGATGCAAGAATTAGGCAGATTCCGAAGCAAAGGCGCCAACACCCCTACGTAGCCTAACGGCACCCTAATGTCGCCGCCGGGGATTTCGATATAACTGCCAAATTGATCGGCCGAGACGAGCGAGAGATCATCTCCGCATTGGCACCTGACGCAATTCGTCAGACCATACATCACCCTTGCGGCATCGTATCTGCAAAATCGCAGAACTGTCCTTATTGTCTCTCCGTAGGAGATTCCGATCGTCAAGGACGTCGTCGTGTTACCACGACTGATTGCACAGCGATGTAATAGTCACACTCGCCTCTGGCTGTAATGAGCTTTCGAGTTCGTCATCGGTCACTGGTGGAAGACAAAAGCGTAAACTTGAGGAGAAGATAGAGAATTAAGAATTAAAAATTTACAGTTTATTATTTCACTCTGATGTAATTGACAATCCTTTACAATGCAAAGATACTAAATCGAATATTACATAGCAGTAATAAATAAAGAATTATGCTGAAAGTATATTATAAAGAAAACAGAAGAGAAAATGAAAAAAAGATTTCCCGCTACTGATACAGAAGAAAGGAAATAACATGTAAAAGTACACGATAAAAAGATAAGAAACGGAGTAAACAGCTACGGCAAAGAAAATCCTGATGGAAATATTTTACCGAAAATATGATAAAATTTTACCGAAGTGAATTTGAAATTTTCTTTCAATCAGCACCGTTTCATTATTATTCCATCAATATTTCAGAAAAATTCCAGTTTTCCGTTGAATTCGGTAAATTCTATGATACTTAATATTTCAATCAGGGAACTCAGATTGTTGCGTAACCGATAAGAAACTCCGTCGACTTTCATCTTCGGCGGTGACCTTTGCATCGCTGCCGACAGATCGCTCGCAGGATCGACCTGGACAACTGTACCGTTGCTCCTCCGGGAAGTTGTGCAGTTCCTGCTGGATTCTGATGCCCATAAAATTCAGCAACGTACCGTGCACGCGGCTGCCACCAAGGGCGAAGAGGGCCGCCGCTTGCTGCTCGATCCGCCGAAAGGTGTGGTACGCCGTGATGCTCACCGGCAAATCGATAGCCCTGCCATCGCTGGTGCAGAAGAGCTCGCGACTAGGATCCGGTCGGCGGGACAGCGGCGACTTCAGCAGGCCTTCCTGCGCCGCCAACGTGAACACCGGGTTCGCTACGCAGCCACCCTCAATCCACGTGGCTCCCATCTCCGCCACCACGTCGCTCATCCAGCACGAGTGGATTCGACCACCCGGCCTAAAATTCGAAAGGAGTCGCTCGCTTTCTACGATTACAACGATACCTCAAGTCGTGCAAGTTATTCGTTTTTTACACGAGGAGAAGAAATATCTACAAAATAAATGTATTTATTTTCGCTGCATATTAATAAGATAATTATTTATATCGATATCGATATCAATAATATATACTTATAATACTTGCATCAACGTAAATTCAATCGAATCAAGACTAAAAGTCTCGTAGGAAGATTATGATATTCTTATTGTATGAGAATATCTATTTTTGACTTAAGAATTGCTAATTTTCTTTTCGTGTAGTAACACCCATTACAGATACTATAATCTACATTTGCAAGATGAAATCAAGTGTGAAACAGGTTTTGATAATTCTCGATATTGTAGCTACTAGTGTTACGTGTCGTATATTACAGTTATCACCTAATTGTTAAACGTCAAATCGTACCAACAGTTACAGCAGCGAAAATTGCGGTATCGGTTTTGTTATTTATGTGAATGCAGATTAAGGTGAACAGGTTTTAGCTTGTTGCGTAAATACAGTCTGTGGTAACGGTATTTTATGTTGCAGTAGCGACATATCGTTAAAGAGATTACGGTACACGTAATGAGTTTTTGTTACAGTACCTATCCGTCGCCTCTAGGACCGTAAATTTTTGAAAGCCGCACTGAGCCAACCGATGCGCCGCCGATAATCCGGCCATGCCAGCGCCGATGATGACAACCGCTGGTTCCGGCTTGCACGGATCTATTATGCAGGGATCTTGTTGAAAGGTCTCGAGTCTCGACAATTTCTTGCATTCCGAGGTGTTCTCTTTACTTCGTCCTCCTCTTTTGTCCGACGAGAATAATCTGCGACGCGAGACTCTTGTAAGTTCGCTCGATCGAATCAGTCGCAGCCCGTCACTTACGAACCTCAAAGTGAATCTCGCGGTTTTAATTTCATAACGTCACAGGCACTTTTGTTGAAGCGCGAAGCTCGTACAATTAGCGATATAAATTAATGGCGCGCGGAGTGTACAAATTATTAAAGGAAAACACGTGTGACTTTGACACTTAACAGATTGCTGACGTCCGTACTTGATGAGAAATCGTTGCAACCTCCAAAACGGCACCTTGGATCTCCGAAAGAGCATCTCCTTTTTGGTGTCAATTGTCGAAACTGGTGAATTTATCATGAAAGAAGTGATATTTAATTTTTCACATATTTAAATGTACGAAAGTAAATTGCTACGGGGAAGGCATGTTAATCGTAAACAAAAAACTCTGGCCGTTTTGATAGTCTGCTGTCGTCTTGTTGTTATTCTCCGATCGAATCCGAGCGGGATAATTGAAAGGTCGTTCATAAAAACAGTGAGCTAAAATGTGGAACGAAGAATCGAAGTACGGAATAAATACGAGAACNACGTTTTGGAAAGGTCCGTTATAAGAAACCAGTGTAAAAACATGTTTCTTAAAAATGAATACCACCGTATGGTATCAATGGTGCAGCGGAAAAAAACAGGTTGTAATACTTGTTGGTATGTGGGTAACCGAAAGTCAGTGAATTTGCGAGCGTGACGAACCATAAATAAGAAAAACATCATTAATTTTCAAGTGTCGTAAATTAAAAGATAAGCTATTCGTATTCTTTGTAGGCCCTTTTGCAGAAAAATATAATATAGACTTTTTGGCCTAATTTCTAGAAAACTAAAGACATATATATATATATATATATATATATATATATATATTTATTTATTTATTATAATTCTCTATATACTTATTAAAATAATTTATTCTTGCTCTCTAAAAATTACTGTGGTGTTTTTTCTCTTATTTTTTGTTTTCAAAGATAAATAGATAAGTAGTGTCATAAAATTTGTCTTTGAGACCTTGCCTTCCATAATTGGTTATTTTTGTAGCATTTTTTTATAGCTAAAATTTGTTACAATAAAATTTTTACCGCACTATTTATATGCTATTTGTAATACTATCATCACCGTTCACAACACAAATCAGTAAAGCTCTACAACAGCAAAGATATACAACAGTACTACCTGTATATCGCTGTCAGAATCTACGAAGGATAGAATTGTGTATATGATGGTATACAAAATACAAAGCATATGTATAATAGAAAAATCGGAGATGATATAAGATTCGATTTATGAATTGTACTGGTTAATCATGATATTTTTTGCGAAATGTCCTTCGTTGCCAGATTCAAGATCTTTATTCTCGTCGCGATTTCGTCCGACGATTTCACGACATGGAGTTTCTCTTGTAAGATCTCCGCTGTTTGGCTGGTTATCTCGTCCCACGCGAACGTGATATCTTCTTCCTGACAGTACCGACTGCACACGACGAACCGGACGAAAATCCTATTCTGATAAGAGCCGGCGATGAGATAGATTCGCTTTCTGGCCAGTAGACGATCTAAGAGCTCCTTGGTCAAACTGTCATCGCCCTGGGGAAGAGTAATCTCCTTGTTGCGCAATTGTCGAGAGCAATCTGAACGATTCGAGTCGGATAAAACGTTCGGAGAAAAATGACGTGATATGATTCATTCGTTAATTACGACCGGCCTCGAGGAACTGACATACCGATGTTTATACGCAAAAATGTACCTTTATTCGGAAACAGACAAGACCCATGATAGCCTCGGTCGTTATTTCAAATCTGGCGTCCGACCTGACGTATTTCTCGAAGAGACGTGCTAACTTGATGCTGTGTCTAATGTACTGCTGAAGTCCCTCCACGCCGTATATGCGCAAGACGAACCATAGTTTTAACGAACGGAAGCGTCGACCCAGAGGAATCTGCCAGTGCTGTATCGCGGAGAATCATAGAAATTAAATACATTTAAATTACACTGTACAAATGAATGAAGTTTCTCGAGAAAAGAAATATCAAGGAGTATTGAGATCTTACTCTATAGTCAGGCACGTGTCCTTCCTGCTCTTGAGGAAGATATATCCTCTTAACATTGAACGCCTGCACGAGTCGTTTGGAATCCTTCACCCTGCGAGGAATGAAAATGATCCGACGACTGTGAGTACTACTTTGTTTTTTTCTTTTTTGATGTTGTATTCTTTATAAAGAAATATGCAACACATACACGCACACATTTCATTATTAATGTCAGAGATGCTGTCGTATAGTTAAATGTTTTGCAATAATAATTATTAAATGTCTCTTATCGCAAAAAGCAAATTGATTGATTTATTTTTAATGTGTTTAAAACTTGTTTAAACCTAAGCGTTCCCACTATATCTCGAGTTCGAGAAAATAACGACAGTCGTGGTTAAATTATTTTTATCTCATAAGCAAATCGACGTACGCACCACAATACCGAAGTGTCAAAATTCACCAGCAACCACTTGTGCGCATTTATGTTGAAGGAATCCGCGTACTCAACTCCGGACATCAAGTGACGGTATTCGGGACAGACGAACGCCGCACCTGAATCAGTGGAATCAACGAACTTTGTTACGATATTTATGACGAATACAAGAACACGTAATAATAATGATTTAACGTTTGTCAATTATTATTATTATATAATTCTCATTATTATTAAACTATTATTAATTATTATATTAAGTAATATAAAAGTTATATTACTCTTAATAATAATAATAGTTAACTGTTATCATATAATTTTGCGCCATTTATAGTACGAAATTGTTCCCCTTTTAACAATGATATTTTAATGACGATTCGTGACGTGGGAAATGATCGCGCGTATGGAGATGTAACATATCGACCGTGTACGCTATATAATAAGAAAGGAGAGGCAGATCGGACACGGTAAGTTAAAGTACGTAAATTGAAACATGTTTGCACAAACCTGCGTAAGCGGCGTCTATATGCAGCCATACGTTGTACTGCTTGCAGATAGGTCCTATTTCGTCGAGATTGTCGAAGGCGCATGTACTGGTTGTTCCTAAAGTCGAGACGACATAAAACGGAATGAGGCCTTTCTCCAAATCCTCCTCGAACGCTTTCTTCAAAGTTTCTCCGCGCAAAGAGCACTTATCGTCCACTGGTAAGAGTCTCATTGGCACCGATCCGAGCATTCCTGCCTTCTCCACCGACGAATTCGATTGATCTGAAAATTTTGCGGCCGGGACGAGTTCGTGAGGATGTGCCGTCGGTAGACTGGGGGGATCATTTATAAGACTAGAACTAATAAGACGATACTAACCGGAAGTGTATGCGACCAGCTTAGATTTAATAAGAACCTCGTCCATCTCCGGATCAAGATTTTTTAGCTGACGCGTCGTGTATTCTTTTGCAGCCAGTAGACACAAGAAGGTAGACTCACTGGCGGACCCCTGGTAATGGTAGATTCAAGATGAAATGACTAAAAAGTTTACGAAATTCGCACACGTCGTTATCACGCATCATTATACAATTCGTCTGCGTCGAGACTGATGCCCGTCACTCACGACACGTAATCTTTTTTACATCCAATTGCCGAAATATTGCGAACGTGCATTTAAGGAAATTGAACGAATCGTATAATAAAATTTAATGAGAACGCTGATTACACTTAATTTATTGTTTATCGATTGAGAGATGCAACGGCTCGTTGGTCTAGGGGTATGATTCTCGCTTAGGGTGCGAGAGGTCCCGGGTTCAAATCCCGGACGAGCCCGTTGATTTTTTATTCTTTTTTTTTTTTTTTAATAAAATAGTACGTCAATCGATCAAAGGATAAAATTACATTATACGTGAAAACAGATCAGTTAAATTTACAAGGCAGTGAACGAAATTCGGTTTCCCCCAACCAAACGTGAAGGAAAAAGAGAATTCTGGTTGTTACAATCGAATTTGGGCCATAAGGACCAGAAATTCTATTTCCTTCAACTAAAACCCGTTTGGTTCGTTCACTGTTTGATCAATTGAAACGAACGTTTTTTTCCGGTTTACATGGATCCCATGGCGCGATCTGATTTGCCGACAATTAAGCAATGATAATTACCTGCATAACCCCGCCACCTAATCCACCGCTGCAATTCAGGAACTCGCTGGGCAGACCTAACATTTTTCCGAGCCAATTGCAGGTGACCATCTCGAGTTCGGTGCAGGCGGGGGACGTTATCCACGAGAAACCGATGCAACTGAACGCGTTGCTCACAATCTCACCCACCAACGCGGGATAAGAATTGCCGGTCGGGTAATACGCGTGAAAATGCGGCGAGTTCCAATGCGTCATCTGCAGTTGTCGTCAATATTGGTAAACAGTGGAAAAGTGAGATTCTCGAGGGGATATGCAATACGTCAAAGAACGCATTGATCGTGTTAAGCTGGCTCCACAATATGACAAACGTAAGCGAACGTTGGCAATTATATTGATCACATATGTCGGGCGAATACAACACACATCATAATATAACGCACACGTAATATTATATATATGAAACATAAATAGTCAATATAATTGTCAATGTTCGTCTATATTTGCCACATTGCCTATATTTGCCATTATGTGGAGCCGACTTTACCTTATCCTAAGAAAAGAAACAATATATCGAAATATATAACCAGTTACTGATTAATTTTGATTAGCTACTGATCAATTTTTATCAGTGACTCATACTATTTATACTATTTATAACTAATGCAGATGCTACTTCAAAATACTGATTCTTTTTCTTGATAAGGACACGAAAAGAAAGCGCTAGATTCAACGAAACAATTATTCAAATACTCCTTGGCAAATTTTTTACTTCCGATCCAAAATAATATTGATTTGATTCAAGTAAAATTTATCTAATTTAAGTAAAAAAAAATTCACTGAGAAGTATTGGAGTAGTTATTTGCTTGAATTCGGCGCTTTTCTTTTCTGCGAAGAAATTTTCTGGACACAAGACGAAGTCTTACTCCCGGCATGATGTATTGCTCCACATCTTTCAGCACTTCTTGCCACTTCTCCGCTTTATGCGGCGCCTCTTCCGGCAACAGTTTGCTCAGGTAGCCCGGCTCCACACTGGGAAGTACGTCTCGGTCTCTCAAATTCCTGTTATAATCAGCGACGAAGTCGATGGTCGTCTTGGCGAACTCCACGAATTCTGACGTGTCCATGTTTATCTAATTACAGAATCACAGTCGCTGTAGCCGAGAAATGAGAACAGAAAAATCGACTTAACGTGAGACTCCCGACACGTTGATATAGAGATGGCGAGCCGAACGGAATTGTTGCTTCGTTATCTCAGTTGGAGAAAAAGATCGACCATGCGACCGTGTAAGTTTATAAGCACTGTGAGTCTATCCTGTGTACAACTTGTATAACTGCACGTTATGAAATACCGCGCAAACGATAAAAATTAAATTTTACGATCTCTGTCGGGATGATCACCTTGATTTAAAATTTTATGCTCATTTATGCAGAACAGTTCTGAGACCTTGAACATTTAAACACCGTTTCGACATTACATTTTTTATCGACAATGATTCTAATGATTCATAGCTTTCCGTGATTTGAGTATCGATTACTGTAACTTTTCCTCTATGGCGAAAACGTAAAAAATGAAATGTTTCCAAATAAAAAATTTATATTTATCATGCATTTTTTTATTTTTCCCGTTAGAGGGGAAAACTTATGATCCCTTAAGTGTTGATCATGAACCTTCTCCACTAGTCTGAGTTCGTGAAAAGTATAAATTTACTAATTTGAAAACATTTCACTTTTCACTTTATACTTTTTGCCCTCTGGAGGCAAGTTACGTGATCGATATTTTGTCGTAAAAAAAATGTGAAATATTTGTAGTTTTATTTCTTTATAAAAATTACAACATTAAATTAATAATCATATTATATCTCTCTCCTTCATCATAAAATCTGTATTGTGCTATCTAATTATTATATGAGCATTAAGAAATTTCTTTATTCTATGCAACGGTCAATCAAAAAATAATCAGGACAATCAGCTACTGTTTTCAGAAAGTAAGGAACCTCATTTTTGGAAAATAGAAAGAGAATTACAGGTAAATAATAATTAATATATCGGTAATAATTTCCGGGTGCGATAGATGATGGAAAGCTTCAAGTACATTCACAATCCGCGCCGTCAGACTCGTACCTCTCAATTTTCACGAAACGTGTCACGGGGCACAAGAAGAATTTTCGCGAATCACTTTAAGAGCATTACTTTTGTACAAGAGTCGTTCACCCAGCAGCGGTCTTTCGTTCAGATCGATGACTCGTATCTCGCTCGTATCGCCATCACAAGGAGCACAATTTGAGACTCGAAATTCAGCCGTCGAGATTTTCCACGCGGTTTGACGTGTAAGCCGATAGACGACTACGAGACAAGTGTTTTCGGTCGGATACCATCGCATAAAGTTAAATACCGTCACACAGAAAACTTTCACCTGCTTTCTCCGCAATCACACGAAATATTGGTCCGCTTCGGTCGCGGAAGTAACTCATTCTTTCCTAACGTCACGAGCGTTTGCGAAGCCGTCTCTTGCGATTAACTGGAGATTAGTTGTTATTACTCTTATAGTGAGGAAATGTTACGTGGCTTAATTGTTGCTAATTAACACGTGGTATACGAGTCGACCTGTCGTTTTCGTGATTACCATGGATATGGCACAAATTTTTCTTTCAACCGTTCTCGCTTACGTTATGTATGTTGTAATTATGCAAAAGAATTTTTAACTCTGTACAGCCAGTAACGAGTATAATAATAATAAATTTATGGTAAAACAAAATGATTCCAGGACCCCCTTTATGTAGAACTACATTTTTAGTTCGGGTTGTCGGAGTTACATGAATTTAACTTTAGCGGCACGCAAGTAGCAATCGTGAAACGAAAACGGAAAACGGAGAAAAAACAATTACAAGCTTCTGAAAAAGTCCAAGTAGCCCAAAAAACGAGTAAACAGCTTCATATCAGATTTATCAGAAAAAGGAAGGCACAATTCATGACCCTAAAATTACAGAATAGCTATAAATACTGTGAAAGCTTCTTATATACTCAGTATCGCAAACAGTACCGCAAACTTCAAAACAACTTTTCTTGAAACGACATTTGACAAGCTGATTGGCAACTTTTCTCGGGAACCAATGAACCGATGGCTGGACAAACTTTTATATGTAAAAAAAACATTACTCTCTATTATATAAATGTACAGAACTTTGATATATTTCAGACTTTCTTTTATCGATCAAAAACGTACAAGATTGTATACGAAAATCGAAACTTTTTTCTTTATCATGCTGTCATTTTTTCAATTTTATTTCTTTCAAAATCCCTGCATTCATACAAGAGCCGCATTTAAACAAATTAAGAATTGTTTTGAAAATTTAGCTTATCATTTTTAAAACTACGGGAAACCTGCCAACCGTCCAAACAAATCTTTTCGAGGCGGCATGTTGCGATGGACTGCGATTCGGCAAGAGACAATGTATAACTTCGAAAAAAATCAAGTTGTTGTAGGAAATATAAATAAATACATCCACAAAATTTCAAATCAATCGGGTTATAGTCTCTTAAAAACAAATCTTATTTTTCAGATCTATAACTAGAGAATTCCTTTTAAATTTTTTCCGAGGCTTCGGGAATCCCTTTTATATAATGTGCGATTGCCGTACACATTGTAACACGTTTCGTTTCTAGTAAAATGTCGACAAGATTGCGTTGATTCTCGACAAGTTCGCCCCGGGAAAGGTATTTTGCATTTGAAAAAAAGATGAATTTATTGATTTGCGGGCTGAGTCAAAACTAAGATCTGATCTTGAATATTGCGAAGGAATTTGCCGCCATGCGACGCAGTTTTGGTCTATCCCATCGGAAATGAAATACTTAATGTGCAAGAAAATTTTGTGTTCGCGCGATCAATTGTATTTTAATTTTAGGTTCCATGCACTCGATATTATCCTCTTCCTCTTTGTTTCTTTACGTTTTTCTCGTTATTTATTTATATTTTTCAGAAACTATCATTTTCAACAACATAAAGAAAGTAACGCAAATCTATATCATTAATTTTTACTACTAGTATCCTTTCCTTTAATATTTATGGAAACCACGATAATATTAATATAAATATTAAACATTCTAAGAGCTCACTTTCTAAAAGCAATTTTCTAAGAACAAGAGTCGGATATTTAAAAGAAATTCTTTTCTTTGGTGACTTTTTGTAAATAAGTATACTTAAATAAATATTCAATATTTCTTTAAAAAACTCATCTAAGGATAATAATAATGATAATTTATTATCAAGAAAATTGTGATAATTTATTATTAAGAAATTATTAATTAACAAGAGTTAATTAAAAAAAACACGCGTTACCGGTAAAAAAATGTCGAGTTAAAGTTTCGATAAAAGATGAATGAAATTATATCCAAATATTAAATATTTAATTTCGATATTTAATATTTTTTAAACATAAATATTATATATTTAAATTTAATGTTAGTTCAGGTATATGAGATGCACGTAAACGCGAAAGATCTTATAAAAATTTTCAAACGGAAATATCGCAGCAAGTTGACTCTTACATATTTCTATACCTTGCTTTTCTTAATGATTCTTCTCGAAAACGAGTAGCTCCGGTGTAGTAGAGGGGATCTCGTTTTACTGTGAAGAATTGTTCGTAGTTTCACGCCTTATATATCTTTGAAAGGTCGGAGTCTTCCAATAGGATATCCCCGCTTTATATGTCTGATGGCATTAAATAAAAATGTCGGTCGCGTTAAGTTTTAATTTAATATTTTGGATTCATAAATATCAGATCTTTTTACCTGATGCGATATGTATATTTAAATAAAATATTCAATTATTTAACTGCAATTATAAATGCAGTCAAATTATAGACGAAACTTACTTTAATTTCATTTCATTTTAATTACTCTGAAATCTCCATGAATCATTAAAAATAATTATGTGTATTTTTGTTTGTTAAACTCAATAATAATTATTAAATTAACTCAATAATAATTGTGTTCGATTAGAGAATAGAGAAAAGTGAAAAATTAAGAGCGAAAAGATAAAAATTGCACGATCTGCTGTGAATCCTTTTCTCATTTTTAAGATCACGGTACAAGATAAACTTTTAGATATTGTTAATTACAAACGGAAAATGAGAGGAGAAAGTCCAAAAAATAAAGATTATGGGCTCGTCCGGGATTTGAACCCGGGACCTCTCGCACCCGAAGCGAGAATCATACCCCTAGACCAACGAGCCACTTGAAGACTTTTTTATCCTTGATACTTCACATGTTCGCGGTGATGAAGTCAACCGCAATAGCAATATAATAGAGACAAAGAAAATCAATAAATCTAATCTAATACGATAGCACAGTAGTATAATAACGTAGCGAAACTATGAAGCGGACCAAATAAGGAATGCGAGACGTTTTATGTGGTGACGTGGTTCTTCTTCTCCTTTCAATAAAAACTGTTATTACTCTTTCCTAATGGACAAACATAAAGATGATTAATAAGTTAATTAATCATCTCTGAATATGAAATAATCTTTAAATTATAAAATCGGTTTTTATATTTCTAAGGTGTTTACGACACCTGTCACTCATACAAGCCATAACATTTCTTTAAATAAATATTAATGATAATATTCTTGAAATTATATCTGTTCGTCATTTATAATAGTTCTATATACACAAATAAGAGAGACTACGAGATTTGGAGCACTTTAATTGATCGTTATATATAAATTAATCGAGTTTATTTCTAAACTATCAGCGTTAGTTGTAATACCACTAGCGATACGATTAGTCTCTAAGAGTTTTATAGAAGTCTTCATTATGAAAGTCACCGACCTTCAATACGGCTCGTTGGTCTAGGGGTATGATTCTCGCTTAGGGTGCGAGAGGTCCCGGGTTCAAATCCCGGACGAGCCCAACTTTTTTTATTGACTCAACCGATTTCACCTTAACTTACTTTCGGGACTTTCAATTTGGCGATTTTACGTACTAGCATAGTGCTTGTTTTGTACGCGTCTCGTGGACGCCGTTAATCTCTGAATACACACTGTTGTTTTATTGCTACTATTTATATCCACAACTTGTCTGTTCGATGTGTCCGGTTTTACATCATGCAAATTTATTTTCGTTCTAC